CCTTTGGATTTTTATCTCCGTGGTACGATTAAGCATTCACTTCGTATTTCAAAAAACATTCGATACCGGGGCGGAACTAGGTATGCGAATAGTCGCAGCCTTTGCAAAAATAAAGTCTGAAATATTTGTTCTGCAACGCGTGTGTTCAGACATTATAATATTGATATATGCCGGTGTCACAAATGCATAGAGATAAAAGGTAGTCGTCAAGTAAATATTATATGTAGTGATGAATGGGTCTGACAAATATTTTTTACTTTACATCTATACATATAATAAAACTGTAAATAGCAGATGTCTGTACATTTTATATTTTTGTAATAAAAGTGATTGAGGGGTACTAAAAATAAGTAATTAAATACATTTCTACCATTTTTAGAATTTTGTCTGTCTGTCTGTTTGTTTGTTAACGTATCACGTATAAAGTACTAATTTATATCATAAGAATTGTTAAGGAAATTATAAAGTGTATCTTCGGGTTACATTTAGTCTTTATTTCATTAAAATCAGTTCATTCCATCAAAAGTTATGATAAATATTCTGAAGTATGGGTACTAAGTATAGGTACGAATTTGTTCAATAGTGGCGTTGGATGAGTCATCAAGTGCATTTTAAACTAATATCATATCATAAATCATAGTTAAATTATGTAAAATAATGATATAATTATGTATATCTAAAACGCAGTAAACAAAAGTATTAAAGAACGTATTAAATATATTATACAAAAATATATTAACCTTATTAACTAAATCTGAAGCACAATAGTTAACCCATTTCTTCGATAGATGGTGGTGTTGTGAAAATGTAATGCAATTGCAATGTGGTTTTTTTCTGTAGATGAGTTTTCATATTTACTGCTAATCTTTATTACATTACTCGCCGCCCTACTGCGTGTTGACAAACTCAATTTATTCTTTACCGCCGAGTACTCTATGTGGTAAATCAAATGTTAAAAGAGCTATTAACAATTGCGTTGGTTTTGGCGAGAGTCAAACTTTATTTTTTGCTTACTGTGCAGGCACTGATTTATAAGTTCTCTTGCGTTTTATATAATGTATCAATCGCGTCAATCAATCTCTTTTATTTTTAGAATTGATGTTAGCAGCGCCATCTCTCTTTAAATATATACATATAATAAAAATGATGATAACATGTTGTGTCTCTTTCTGTACAATGTATATATATTTTGGTGGCTAAAATCATTATGAGGAACTGAAAATAATTAAATAAGAACATTTTATAATTTTTAGAATTGCTTTCTGTCTATTTGTCTGTTATTATATGAACGCATTACGTCTAAAGTCGTCAAGAAAATCGTTAAGAAAATCATAAAGCGTATCTTCGAGTTACATTTAATCTTTGTTTTATTAAAATTGGTTAATTCTATCGAAAGTAATGATTATTATTTTGAAATGTAGGTTCGAATTTGTTCAATGGCGCCATAAAATCTCAGAAATAGTAATAAAAAGATTTGTGTGTAAAAAAAACGTTCCATAATAATTAATATATTTATACCATAGAATTATTCTATGATTTATACTTAAAACACAAAAAGAGATTTAAAAAGAATGTTTTCTCACACAAAGGACGTAATAGATGGAGTTGTACAAATTACAAACTTTTCTGAATTGCTGTGTTGACATTTTTCGCCGATGAATCGAAATTTTAGCACCTAGCTTAATCCAGCGCTTTTTGGTGTATTTAGCACACATTTCAATATTTTAGCGACTAGCGGGTTATTAACTCTTTTATAGCAGCACTGTTAGTCCACATTACCGATAATAATAATAACGACCTTTATTATTTTTTCCCACAAATAGTACATTGCAGTTTATCTTTTTCAAACATATTTTTTCCACAAAACAAAGAGCATGGGAGACGAGTCCAAACTAGGATACCCTGTGCTATGGATCTCCTGGCTTCCCCTTTAGGATGATCAACTTGATTTTTTTACCGACGACTATAAGCGGGGAAATCCCCTTTATTAAAGTTTTCGTTCATTGTTTTGGCAACGCATTTATTTTGCTTTATTCAGTTTCAGTCAGTTGCTTAGAGCACAGCTAAGTTAAAAGTTACTTAGAAGTTATAACACAAAGAAACTGTGTAGCAACCGCAATCAGATGCTGACATCTGAAACTAAGTTACGAAATACATTGCACTTTAAAACAATTAATGACATTTTATTGTCCGTACAGTACTAACTACTGTTGACAGCAATTGCCATAATTATAAGTCGATGTCCTGCGAAGTATTGATACATCAAAAAAATATTGCCAGAAAAAAAACTTAATGTTGTTTTCTTTATTATGATTATATAAAAAAACACAAACTTTGTTTGTAGTTAATTTAGCGCGAAATCTAGGGCTTTTTTAAAGCGCTGTTTTCATGAAATCTAGCGCTTTTTGTGTTGTCCTAGAGCTGAATGAGTTTTTTTTTATCTGGCAGCACTGCCCAAAAACCCTCTATTCAGAAGTAACTTTCCTTTCAGTTTTTAGCGCGTTCAGTTCCCAGTTACAGTGAGCGTGTGTTATGCGATGACCGTAAATAAAGCGCAAGGTCAAACTTTACGCGTTGTAGGAGTGTACCTCAGTACTGCCTGTTTTGCACATGGCCAACTCTATGTTGCTTTTTCCCGCGTTAGTAGCCCCCGTAACCTTTTTGTATACACCCCGGCTAAGCCTACTTCTAACGTCGTTTACACAGAAGCTCTGTCATAAACGACTTAGAACTTTGATGATAATGATTTATTTAGTTACCACTTATTGATACAGTAATGAAATAAATCGTTTAATATTCTCTTACCTAAACGACAAATTCTTTATGTAAAATCTGTATACGCGAGCTACGCCGCGGGCACAGCTAGTGCCAAATAAATCTACAAAATAACACGAGAAAAACTGTGTTTTTACTTTTGTCATATCTTAAAAATTTGGCTGAGATATTAACGATCAAAGTGCGTGTTTCCGAACTACGATTTTTAAAAACGCGGGCGGGCTCTCACTAGTCGATGACGTCACACCCCCGCTCGTACAACAGTCGCGCTCTCGTTTGCACGCCGCTTCGTAGTAAATATCAGAATTTTAAAGTTCTCTGTGGTAAAAATGGAAAAAAATACTGTATTGTGCTTCGGTGCTTCAATTCAAGGTTTAAAACATCTGATAAACTCTTTTTTATGTGCCTGAGGACCCAAAAATGATGAAAAAGTGGATGACAGCCATAAAAAAGAGTCGATTCAATAGCCCCTGAAACTAAAGTGCACTACTGTGAAGAGCATGTTTACATCCGCTTTGTTAGCTGCACAATCTTCACAGGATATGCTTATTATCTCCTCTTCCTTCTCGTTGCATTGCCAAACACAGTGGTAAGGGTTTTGAACGCACTTTGTGTTCAAGAGTTATTCGACACATAACAGTACATACATCTACAATGGAAAACTGTATTTGTTGTCAAGAAAGTCTGTTTAATTTCTTACTTATACAATTCAACAACGTTTATATGGTTTATTTGGTATGTTAATGGATATGTTTAAATAAGCAAAAGAAATTGAGTAGCTCATTGTTGACCTTACAATCTCTTAGACATATTCTAATGAAAAAGCTATGAGATTTAACAAGCCCATAAATGATCGATCAATTTAATTTAAAACAAAAATTCTAACAGTCTTAGGAACAGGCGTTTGAGTATTATTATATTAGTATAGATTACAAAGTTATAATGCAGTTGTTGAATTATGTTCTTGTTACTTTTATGTTTATGTCATGTTCTCGTACTCCTTAAGTGTCTTTCAAAGCTTAGGGAAGACAGCTTTAGTGCATTCGATTCCTAAAAAAGGCTGGGACCTATCCAAATACAGGCCTATCGTCGTCACCTGCTTGTTCTCCAAAATAATGGACTACATTATTAACTGCCAGCTCACGTGGTACCATGAAGAGCATAAGCTGATTAGTGACCTTCAATACGGTTTCCGTCGAAGCTGTTAGGATCGATAGGACGGATACGGCGTGTATGTATCTATGTATACATACATACAAAATACATACCTACTTACATATTAACTATTTTATGGGTGCCATTGGAGAACGGACCTAGGTTGCTAGCGTACTGTGAAATTTTACGGCAAACTCTTAGCCCCTGAGCTACCAGGCCTAGTTTTGAATCTTTGTATGGCCTACAAATAATTCCTATATCATAATCTTCCCGTAAACTTATACATAATACATATACATAAACACTCACGCCTGTCACCCAGAGGGGTAGGCAGAGACTACGGACTTCCATTTGGCGCGATCCTGACACACCTCTCTCGCCTCTTTTACATCCATATATCTACGGATACACGCTCGTCGGTTAAGGGTACTCCTAATCTGGCCCATTTTTAATGTATCGCTGCTGAACATAGAAGCTTCTCTCCCAATGTAGGGAGGATTTACCTTGAGCGTCACGCTTGGCATAGGACTGACGATCGCAGAACCAGACGTGAGCACCTCTGGCAATGTCGCCTGGCGCCGGTCTGGATATTTTACATCTGAAGTAAACGAGGTGGTTATACCGCCATCTGTCGGAAGCCATCAGATTTTCTAGCAAACCCATAGTCGCCTCTTACGAAACCCACGGGACAACGTATAACGATGAATTCTCTTATCCCTCACTTACACGCCAACTTCGACTGTACTGTGTGCATAACACTAGTTCTGTGTGGAATTCGAAACAATAATTATTAGATTAATGTAATTATAACATGGTCAGAAGAACCATTCTTTCCCACCAAAAAAGAAAATTTAATTCGGAGTAATTGGCTAAAATACTTTATATCTAGCAACATTATTTAGTATATTTATGTAAAATATTATAATTTCTCTATTTTTGCATTGGTTAACCGATAGAGAATGCCATAAGGCATAAACTCCGCCCATTGTAAACCGTTTAAGGTGTCTTGCAATAAGGATGCAATAACTCACAATAAATAAAAAGTTTAACTTCGACAAATAATTTTTCAGAAACTTCTGAGAAGATTAAATCAAATTCTACTGATTGTAACATAAACGATGTTCGTGAAGAAAACCTCGATTTTAAAGGCCCTACTATTCAATCAAACCCCAAAATGAAAAAAAATAATCAACCAATTAATAAAAAAGGGAAGCATCCTGCAAAGATAATGAAAACGAAAATTTTGAAACAAAAGAGTGTAAATATGTTTACGAAACAAACGTCTGGGGCATCAACTAAATACAATTTTGAATGTGATGGTTGTAGTAAAAAAAATTCAACAAAAGACATTATCGCCAAACACATTTCATACAGTCATAAGACGAAAAAGAACTCAGACACCACTGCAGTTCGGACACAAGTAGAACAAACTGCAGTACCACAACAAACAGAAATATTTAATTGCGATATGTGCGAATTTAAAACATCTCAAAAATGTTACATTTTGGCACATCTTAAAGCGCACGTCGCTAAACAAATGTACTGTTGTAATAATTGTGAATATAAATGTATTAGAAAAAGAGATTTGCAAAAACATATGAAAATACACACCGGTGAAAAACCTTTTTCGTGTAATATCTGTGAATATAGATGTATTACAAAAAGTAATTTGCAAACCCATATGAAAATACACACCGGTGAAAAACCCTTTTCGTGTAATATCTGTGAATATAGATGTATTAAAAAAAGTCATTTGCAAGCACATAATATGAAAATACACACCGGTGAAAAACCTTTTTCGTGTAATATCTGTGAACATAGATTTATTAGAAAATGTGATTTGCAAAGACATATGAAAATACATACTGGAGAAAAACCTTTTTCGTGTAATATCTGTGAACATAGATTTATTAGAAAATGTTATTTGCAAACCCATATGAAAATACACACCGGTGAAAAACCCCTTTCGTGTAATATCTGTGAATATAGATGTATTAATAAAAGTCATTTGCAAGCACATAATATGAAAATACACACCGGTGAAAAACCTTTTACTTGTAATATCTGTGAACATAGATTTATTAGAAAATGTGATTTGCAAAGACATATGAAAATACATACTGGAGAAAAACCTTTTTCGTGTAATATCTGTGAACATAGATTTATTAGAAAATGTTATTTGCAAACCCATATGAAAATACACACCGGTGAAAAACCCTTTTCGTGTAATATCTGTGAATATAGATGTATTACAAAAAGTCTTTTGCAAAGACATATGAAAATACATACTGGAGAAAAACCTTTTTCGTGTAATACCTGTGAATACAGATGTATTACAAAAAGTTATTTACAAAAACATTTAAAAATACACACTGGTGAAAAACCTTTTTCGTGTAATACCTGTGAATATAGATGTATTACAAAAAGTAATTGGCAAACACATTTAAAAATACACACTGGAGCAAAACCTTTTTCGTGAGCCATGTGGGAAAATATGTACAATATTGTGTAAATGTGTTTTATATTATATAAATATGTGTGTACCAGATAAAAATATATTTTTTGTGAATTTGTTATGTAATTATATAACGAGTAGAAAAACCTTTCCGTGCCTTAAGTGCAAATTGGAACTGCATTTATTCTGAAGAAGTTTGTTCAATGCCTGATTTAAAATTTTGTACACCGATTTCAATATAAATTATTAAGAATAATTCAAAAACTATTGGTCAAACCTTGGGACCACAGGAGGAAAAAATAAAAAAAAGACTAGCTTTCAAATAAAAAAAGAATTATCGAAATCGGTTCATACAGAAAAAAGTTATGAGGTAATAAACATAAAAGAGGGACATACAGTGGAATTGAGTACCTACCTCATCCTTTTCGAAGTCAGTAGAAAGCAAAAGAAAATTGAACCTTAAAATAAATATCGAATGTATGAATGGAGGTTAGTGGAAACAGTCTAGACCTTTGTTTTTTTTTAATTTAAATGATTGTTTACGTTTTTCTTTTTCGCTTCGACGTTTATCGTTACGGTTACAGCCTTTAAAACTACTCTGTTGAACATAGGCTTCCCCCGTGGCTTGCGTCATATTTGCCTTAGTTGCCATGCAGGTGGGTTGGTAACCGCGGTTTGTTTATTATTTTTACTTGTAATCAGGGAGACGCGGCTGCTAGTCTTGTAGTTTGTTTCCCTCTGTCGCCTCTTACGACACCCACGGCACGATATGGGGTAGTGGATTGTCTTACACCGTCACTACACAGCAGCATAACTATATAATTTATTAATGCTTTTATTTTTGTTATGTTTAACGTTTATAAAAGTTCTAATGTTAATAACAATAGTGGATTATGCATGATTTAATTTAAATAATTATATAATACTAAATTCTGATATATCTATTGATCTCTTAATTTTTGTATTCAATTTAATTCACTGCATATGTTTACTTGTGTCTATTTTTTTATGAAATGTGTGTAACACCTGTAATTAAGTCAACACTTAGTTTTTATGATTTTTTGCAAAAATATTATGCTTTTGTTAGTGTATGTCTTGTTGGTGTTAAATAAATAAATAAAATATCACGACATGATGCTGTGTGGTCGTGTCTGTTCACTCGTCGTAGAGCACGCTGCGGCTATATTATGGTTGTAGCACGAATATATAGGCTGACCGGGGTAGGACCACGCTCTTAAAGAATACCAGCATAAAATAGCAGCTTTCATGAGAAAATAGTGTCTCGTATGGTGAGTGTAGAGAACAGGAGACCCTTGTTACTGGTAACGAGTCATTCCTCCTCAGTCCTCATGGGTGACAGCGCATCTGGATTTCATTTCTTAATTGTGGATTAGGATTCTTAATAGATGTCCATGGGCCACAGCTGCACAGCATTCACTTACCATCAGGTGGACTGTGCGCTCGTACGTCCCCCTTATTCTATTTAAAAAAATCAACGAATATCTCAGATCCACACCGCACCGGCTTGAAACCATTCAACATTCACCTCAGTGGGAGAAATTATTTAAGGATCTTCATGAGAATTGGCTTTGCTTTACATATGTGCATAAGGAGAGGTGGCGGAAACGCGCGAGAAAGAAGTCGACGAAGTCGCGACAGGTGAGTATTGTTACGTGCGGAGTGAGTAAAATTGTATAGATTTAAGATTGCTGCATACAGGACGGATTCAGTACGCGCACGGGACGGAATCAGAACGTGGTTGTATCTCCACACGGACGGGAGTTTAATGCATACGCTACGTGACCTACTCGAAACTAACGTGAGAGTGTTGTGAAAGCTCCATCATCATTATCATCATCACAGCCCTTCATAAGTCCACTGCTGAACATAGGCCTACCCCAAGGAATGCCACAAAGCACGATCCTGAGCCACCTGCATCCATCGACTTCCTGCATATCTTACCAGATCGTCACTCCATCTAGTGGGGGGACGCCCTACACTTCGTCCGCCGGTACGAGGGCGCCACTCGAGAACCTTTTCCCCCATCGGTTGTCGGTTCTTCGAGCTATATGGCTGGCCCATTGCCACTTCAGCTTACTAATCCGTTGAGATATGTCGGTCACTAGTTCTACTGCGGATATCCTCATTTCTAAGTTTATCACGCAGAGAAACTCCGAGCATAGCCCTCCCCATAGCTTGATGAGCGACCTTGAGTTTCCCAATCCGGCCAGCAGCGAAGGACCACGTCTCAGTTCCATAGGTCATTACTTACAACACGCACTGGTTGTACAGTCTCGTCAAGTTTTGAGGTATACCTGACGAAAAGATGTGTCGTAATTTCCCGAACGCTGCCCAACCGAGTTGAATCCGTCGATTGACCTCTCGTTCTGTGCTGTGTACGGTTTGCTCAACACAGTTGAATAAACATGTAACGCTCCACGATAACCAGTTCGGATTTCGTCCTCGGTTATCCACTGAAAGCGCCATATTGTGTCTAAAGCAAACCGTCAAATACTACACTGATCGCAGGACGCCTGTGTACGCGTGCTTCCTCGAGCTATCCAAGGCCTTTGACCTGGTGACATATAACCTGCTGTGGGACAAGCTGCAAAGCATAGGCTTGCCACAGGAACTTATCAGCATGTTCCGGTACTGGTACGCAAACCAGGCCAATAGTGTCAGATGGGCGGGGGTGATGACGGATCCGTATCGGCTTGAGTGTGGAGTCAGGCAGGGTGGCTTAACATCACCAACCCTCTTTAATCTATATATCAACGGGTTGATCGTAGCGCTTAGCAGTCGGCATGTCGGCTGCCACATTGACGGTGTTTGTGTCAATAATCTGAGTTATGCAGACGACATGGTGCTGCTGAGTGCGTTGGTCTGCGGCCTGAGGAAGCTGATACGGAAATGCGAGGAATATACATGTGGCCACGGATTATTGTATAATGTCAGAAAGAGTCAATATATGATCTTTGAGGCCGCTGGTGCGAAATGTCCGAATAGTATACCTACCTCAAATAAAATTAAATGGTGTACCCCTGGAAAGGGTTAAACAGTTTCAATATCTGGGGCATTTACTCACCGTCGACCTAAAGGATCACTCTGATATGGATCGGGAACGGAGGGCGCTGTCTGACAGAGCTAACATGATCGATCGTAGGTTTGCGCGGTGTTCAAAGGAGGTTAAGGTTACGCTCTTCCGAGCGTTCTGTACATCGCTCTACTCGTGCAGCTTATGGGCTAATTACAGTAGGAAGTGTTACAACGTCCTCCGCGTCCAATACAATAATGCGTTTAGGGCGGTGATGGGGCTGCCTCTATTTTGTAGCGCCTCTGGTATGTTCGCGGATGCGCGCACCGATTGCTTCAATGCCACCATGCGCAAGCGGGCCGCGTCCCTGGTGCGCAGAGTGCGGGCCCGCTCCAACACTGGCCTAGCGATGATCTCAGGAAGGTTAGACTGTTATATTATCCGGCATTGCTGCGACAGACATGTCGCAGAACAGTCGCCTCTGAGAAAGTATTGATTGATCTCGTCTCCTGACTAATAAAAGTGTGTTTTTTTTTTTTGTTAATTATGTATTAATTTTATTTTATCTGCTTAGATTATGTTATATTACTGACATTACTGCTTATTGAAATTGACTGGATTTATTATTTTAAAATTGTTATCTTGTTGACATTGATTTATGTATTGTATTGCTTAAATTGTGTTGATTGATTTTAATTTAATTTATTGCAGCACAGTTGCCTCAGAGAAAGTTATCTCTATATATAAATTATTGATTTCGTCTCCTGTCTGGTAAAAGTGTGTAATTCTGTTATTTATTTATTAATTTTAATTTTATGTTATTTATTTCATTATATTATTTATTACTGACATTACTGCCTATTTACATTGACTGGATTTATTATTTTAAAATTGTTATTTTGTATTGACATTGATTTATTTGTTGCTAAAATTTTGGAGACTGATTTTAAATTTATTGATTTTACTGGATATGGGTGTAATTTGCCTGAATACAGATGATTATTATTATTATTTATTATAGAACCTCTCAATCTCGCTCAAAATCTCAGGTGTTCCGGAAACGACGCTGCCACATTCGGTCTTCAGTTTCGACAGTTGGCTCTTTCTGGCAGACAGATCTCTAGTAAACACTTTGGAGCCCTGGTTCCGCTCGATAGCTACTTCAATACGAGCAGTATTAAAGTTGCATAAGTCCCGCCGCATGCATTTGGAGATCTGTCTGTTCAGTTGCCTGTATGCTGTCAAATCTACTGAAGACTGCAGCTTCATCTCCCGTCTAACAGCCATGAGATTAAGAGTGTGATCGGAGAGTTTTTGTGTTCTTCTGTGGCGGGTCTTGCTAAACTTAGCTCCGACCGCATGGTCAGTTTCCACGAGCTTGTTATTCATATCGTCCATTGCATTGCAGTCTTCTAGGCACAGAAAACGGTTTCGTAGCTCGAGCTGAAAGGTTTCGGGACTTTGGAGTAGAGCACGAGGGGGACGGAGCGTTGACTTCATTAGACGTGACCTCTCCAACTTAACGTTTAGGTTCAGTGTGACTCTCACCATTCGGTGATCGCTGCCGGTTTTCACCCTCGCGATCACTGAGACATCACTGAACAGTTGTCGTCTGGTCGTCATAATGAAGTCAATCTTATTTTTTGGCGAACCGTCGGGGCTCGACCAGGTCCACTTTCTGTGGGGCAGCTTCTTAAAGAAAGAGTTCATCATAAAGAGTCCCTCTTTCTCCATGAAGTCGGACCCAAGGGTTTCGTTGCCCTATTCCGAATTTCCCTGCTTTCAGCTCACCGTTCTCTCTTGTGCCTAGTTTTGCGTTGAAGTCTCCCATTAACACCGTATAGTGGGTTTTGGAGGAATGCATGGCTCTAGAGATATCCTCATACATTTCCTCCACCTTCTCATCGGGGTGTGCCGAGGTTGGTGCGTAAACCTGTATGACCTTCAGCAAATACCGTTTGGTGATTCTGAGTATAAGGTATGCGACCCTCGTCGACACACTCCCAATCTTTACAACGTTGTTAACGAGACACTTGTGGACGATAAATCCGACACCTTGGGACAGATGGTCGCCCTCCCGGTGATAGAGCAAGTTGCCGGATTCGAGGATTACCGTGTCCTCCCTCTCTTCGGACCTCGGATAGTCCTATAATAATCCAGCGCAACCTGTCTATCTCTTCTTCCAGTTCCAGGATCTTCTTGTCAGTGCTTAGATTGCGTGCGTTATAATTTGCCATGTTGAGTCGTCGTAGGTGGCAACCGAACCTCCACCGGAGATTCTTTGCACCCCCTGCCCCGCCGTTAACATGGTCGCCACCGTAGCCAGGAATAGCGGGGGAATAGTTATCAGGAAGATGCTACTACCCATCTCCTGACTGTTTCCCACTGTCGCCTTTTATGACACCCACGGGAAGATCTGGGGTAGTGGGTATTCTTAACTGCCACTACACGGCAAGTGTAGTGTAATGACAGTATTAATTGCTCTGAATTTCATTTATCCAGAGTTTTAAATTTATTTTTTATATGATAGGGTGACAAAGGAGCACACAGACCACTTAAACAATTTTATGGACCTGTGGCGATGCTGTCGTTGCGCCACAAGCGAAACATATCGATGCCTAAATCGCGGTAACAACGTTCCGAAGTTAAAGCAGTACTATTATGTAAAATATTATAATTTCCTTATTTCTCCCTGGGTTAACTGATAGAGAATGCCATAACGCATAAACTCCGTCCATTGTAAACCGTTTAAGGTGTCTTGCAATAAAAATGCAATAACTTACAATAAATAAAAAGTTTAACTTCAACAAATAATTTTTCAGGAACTTCTGAGAAGAAGATTAAATCAAATTCTACTGATTGTAACATAAACGATGTTCGTGAAGAAAACCTCGATTTTGAAGGCCCTACTATTAAATCAAACCCTAAAGTGAAAAAAGATAATCAACCAATTAATAAACAAGGAAAGCATCCTGCAAAGATTATGAAAAACAAAATTTTGAAACAAAAGAGTGTAAATATACTTAAGAAAAAGACATCTGGGACATCAACTAAATACATTTTTAAATGTGATGATTGTAGTAAAAAATTTCCAACAAAAGACATTCTCGCCAAACACATTTCATACAGTCATAAGACGCAAAAGAACTCAGACACCACTGCAGTTCGGACACAAGTAGAACAAACTCCAGTACCACAACAAACAGAAATATTTAATCGCGATATTTGCGAATTTAAAACATCTCAAAAACGTTACATTTTGGCACATCTTAAAACGCACGTCGCTAAACAAATGTACTGTTGTAATAATTGTGAATATAAATGTATCACAAAAATTAATTTACAAAGACATATGAAAATACATATCGGAAAAAAACCTTTTTCGTGTAATGTCTGTGAATATAGATGTATTTTAAAAAGTACTTTGCGAACACATATGAAACTACACACCGGAGAAAAACCTTTTTCTTGTAATATCTGTGAACATAGATGTATTAGAAAAAGTCATTTGCAAAGACATTTAAAAACACACTGGAGCGAAACCTTTTTTGTGAGCTATCTTGTAAAATATGTACAATATTGTGTAAACGTGTTTTATTTAAATATATGTGTACCAGATAAAAATTTATTTTTTGTGAATTTGTGACGTAATAAAACCTTTCCGTGTCTTATGTGCAAATTGAAACTGCATTTATTCTGAAGAAGTTAATTCAATACCTAATTTAAAATATTGTACAACCGAATTCAATACAAATTATTAAGAATAATTCAAAAACTATTGGTCAGACCTTGATCAAATTAATATGGGATCACATGTGAAGCACCAGCTTCAAAAAATAAAAAAAAGAATTATCGAAATCGTTCAGAATGCATGCAGGAAAAGTTAAGACGTTATAAACATATAAAAGAACATACAGTCGAATTGAGTACCTCCTCCTTTTTGAAGTCGGTAGAAAGCAAAAAATATTGGAACCTTAAAATAAATACCGAATGTGTGAATGGAGGTTAGTGGAAACAGACTAGACCGCTCATGTTTTTTTTTAAATTTAAATGACAGCTCCGACGGTTATCATTACCGTTACAGCCTTTAAAACTACTCTGTTGAACATAGGCTTCCCCCGTGGATTGCGTCATATTTGCCATAGTTGCCATGCAGGTGGGTTGGCAACTGCGGTTTGTTCATTATTTTCACTTGTAATCAGGGAGACGCGGCTGTCCATCTTGTAGCTTGTTTCCCTCTGTCGCCTCTTACGACACCCACGGCACGATATGGGGTAGTGGATTGTCTTACACCGTCACTACACAGCAGCATCACTATATCACGTTATGAGGGTGTGTGGTGTGGCTGTCTGTACGTGGTAGAGCCACGCTGCAGCTATATTATGTTTAAATAAAACTAATTTTACGGAATTTATCGCGTATATTAACTTATTTTTATATTCCCGACGTTTCGGGTGCTTTCCAGCACCCGTGGTCACGGGGGACTGAGGTCTTTGACGTCCTGCTGTCATAGTTAGCCCGGCTACCTTCAATTTTTTAATATTATTTTTGGTCCGATTTACGCAGAATGAGCTTACAGTATCTTGAAGTCTAGCAGTGGTATACTCGGGTTTGGATTTGATTTTATTAATTATGGGATCCCAAGTAGATGGCAGCACCCATCCATCTTCTCTATTGAAATTAGGATGTTTTTTAATTGCAATAGCCTCGCGAATCATCCTTGGGAGGAATCGGTGTTTTTTGCGAGGATTTGTGGTCTATCAAATCTAATGTAATGGCGGGGACGATCTTGAACATGTTCACAAACTGCAGACTTCCCGATATGTCGGTGCTTCACGTCAGCTATATGTTCTTTTACGCAGGTCTTTATAGATCTTTTTGTTTGTCCTTTGTACGAGAGACCACATTCACAATCCAGCATCTTGTAGAGGGATATAACACTTGACGGATGGTAAAAATTGACCAAACTTCTTCAGCGGCTTGAAATATGTTTTAATGGAAGCTCGCTTCAAGATGTAGCCAACCTTGTCTGTGACTCCTCTGACATAGGGTAGTACAGCAGGCACACGCTCGACTGTGGCTGGCTTCACTCGGTCACTGTGACGTAGGCGTGGGACCCGAAGCTTGTTGTCTTGCAGTACTAGCTGAAGCTTGGCGGCCAGATGTTTTCTGTCACAGATCCCTCGTGCTCTCTGAAACAAAGATTTTGCCACGGTAGCTAACTGTGAAGGATGATGGTGCGATTCACCATTTAAATATCGGTTGGTATGGGTATTTTTTGACTAAAACATCTAGGAAAGCTAAAGTATTGTTTGCCTCTAACTCCATTGTGAATTGTATTTTAGGGTTTATGGAATTAAGGTGGTTTAAAAATGCAGTTACTTTGTCAGATGGTAAAATTGTGAAAGTATCGTCTATGTACCGCTTGTAGAATCTTGGATTTACAGGAGCAGTAAGTAGGGCTTTCTCCTCAAAGTCCTCCATCAATATGTCGGCGACTACGGGAGATACAGGTGAGCCCATTGCCACTCCGTCTACTTGCATGTAGAACTCTTCTTTCCACAATAAATAGCCAGATGTGAGGCAGTGTTTGAGTAATACTGCATATTCTGTAGGCATGTTGTTATCTTCTAGCTTTCTAGTAACAATTGAGATGCAGTCTTCAATAGGTAGGCATGTGAATATTGACTGAACATCAAAACTGACCATAGTTTCATTGTCAGCAAAATGTAGATGTTTCATTGTCA